TACCAATGAGTGATAAAAAATCTTAAATCAAAAAAAGACAACAACAAAAGTACCGCGTTCGCGCTCGCGTCGTTCTTCACGTGGCGGCGGGGCAGATTGTGTGGCTGACGGTTGAGGCTTCACTTCGACATTATGCGGCCGTTTTGGGTCCGACAAATAATTGTTGAAATAGATGGCCTGCAGCAAAATTGTTCATAAAAATTGCGCTGAGTCACTTTTTCAACAATTATCAATTGTAATGAGGGCACTCAGAAGTTTCCCACAGCAAAAAAAAAAGCATCGGGACTGGATGTGTAGAATCCTTAATGCAAAGCCAGACTATTCTGCATGCTATACCACTTGTCTACAGATTATTGCGCAAGCTTAGTATCTCTTCAAAAGCCCTCCCTCCCTCAGTCTTTTTTTTACAGGAACTAGTCAATGACAAGTTCACTGGTTGCCAGCAATGAGAACAATTTGTACGCTATTGTGAGTTTTTACTTTTCTAATCATGATAAACTTTCAATAAACTCAAAAAAGACCACAAAAATGGACCTCTTGTCGCACATTCTCCAGTTTTTCGGCATGCTTTGTTGTCAAGTGTTTGCGTATGAACTCTGGGCCCTTGAATTTTTTTCCAGATAGAGGGCATAGCCATTTGTCTTTAGCTAGTTCCACACAATTTGCTGTTATAAATGCTTCCACTTCCCTTAAAACGCATATGCAGTTGGCCCGACTTTATTATTGAAATCTATTTTTGTTACATTTATTTTTTTCACTTCCAACTATGCGTTTTTTGCTGCAACAGCTGCACAAAATGCATACTGTCGAGACCTAGCCTCTGTTATGTGTCTAAATATATACATTACATACATTATACATATATATAAATACATATATATGTGTATATACATATATGTGTACATATATACATATATATGCATGTGTTCTGAGCGCATTTTATCCGGGATTTTCAAATTGGGAACCAGAGAAGCTGGGAAACTGAAATTTTAAGACGAGATCCGCGCCCCCGTGTGACCTCACAAACTCAAACTCAGTGCCCACGTTACGCCCACGTCTCACGGATGGCCACGTGAAGATTTTGGTGCTTAAATTAGCAACTTGCGAAACGCAAAAGGAGGGAAGCTGAAATTTTAAGAGAATATTCCCTGCCCGTGTACGACCCAGCAAACTTGATTTCAGCCTTCTCACACACCGCTACGTGAAGGTTTTGGCATGAAAATTATTACCTCGGGAACTAGAAAAGCTAGGAAACTGAAACTCTAGGAGAATATTCCCTGCCCGCCTGTGAATTCAGCTCACGCAGACGCCTAAGTATCACGCACGGATACGCGAAACATTTCGGCACCAAAATTAATAACTTGGAAACTGCAAAAATTTCTATACTTATGAAACTGTAAAGCAGTGAACACTTCCAACAGCATAGTCTCCTTGGAGAGAGTTGCACAAAACACAAGTCGCACTAGTTACCCTACAGCACACCTGTATTTGCTTAAATTTTTTATCTCTGCTCCTCCCAGTCTTAACAACGTCTTACTTTTCAGGATCCTTTCGGCCAAAGTTTTCGAGCTCCGTTTCTGTGAATACTTTTTCATTGATTAGCGCCGTCTCGATACGATTATTGAAACCGGCCATAAAATCAGTAACGAATTTTTGCGCAACTAATATTCTTCCCTTATCATCAGTTCCCCACTGCGACGCTGGTGGTGGAGCTCCACGAACATGCATCATTCCACATCTGCAAATTTTAAATGTGTAAGAGCGTATTAAATTTTCCGTTTATCGTTGTAATCTGAGGTCAGACATTATAACACTGTGGGAATTAGAGCTGGTTCTTGACTATTTACCACATTTACTCGAAGAATTAGACCCGAAAATCTGCAAATTCAGTGAAAAAGGCGCACTTGCTACTGTTGGGATTACTTTCGGGCGCCTCCACCACTTGTAAAGAGTGAATTCGAAGGGGTTTTGACTTTTAACCAGCAAAACCAATTCAAATGAAAGCAATTCACCCACATCGCCACTACAATTTGTCTCTTTTCTCAAGCGAAATCACAGAGTAACTTAAAATCTCTGGAAAAAACTCCCCACTGAATCCTGAAGTCTGCAGCACATCAAAACCAACCCGACAGCTTCTGGTAATAGGCGAACCAGGACGGACTCCTGGGAGAAAGCGGGGTGCGGGGGGGGAGTGAAGCGGTGAAAGTTAAGAGGCGGAGGGGAGGGGGGAGAATCTCTGCCGCTCTCTCCCACCCTGGAACCATGCAAAAACTAGGTTGTTTTAGTTTTATGAACAGACTCGGGCTTTTGTAGCACTGGCGCCTGTGCCGCTGGGAGGGACAAAGCCGAGGGGACAAGAGGGGGGGGGGGAGGCAACCTTCCCTTCCGGATCCGCCTGTGGACAGTATTTCTATAAATCCTTGTTAAATACAAGAGTGGTAACATGAATGCCCTAAACTGTCACTGCGAAGCCCAATTTCAAACAGAACATTCCACACCAAGGGGGTACCTATGCCAAATCGCTCAGTCCTGAACTGCAGTATGCTTCTCACTACTCGCACACCAATTCTCTAGAACTAATCTAAATGGCTGTTGCCGACTTCATGAATACCACTCATTCTACCAGTTGTTAGCAAGGCAAGCAACGTATACAGCCCTTCTGATTTATATGGCCTGAACACATTTTACTTCATGTGGTGATGCAGAAGAATTACCTGTTGGGCATCACATCTTCATTTGGATATTCACCATGATTGTAAAAATCAATGGAATGCACGACGCGAAGATACAGTATGATTCGATCAAGTCTTGTCATCAACTGATCATCCCTTTGGAAGGGTACTTTCTGATCCTCCTCGGCCACACATTCTGCAAAAACCACTTGCGAAGTGATCCTCTTCATTTCACTTTTACCTAGATTTGTTCAAAATTTCTGGATCAACAGAACAAGTACCTAGTTCTTCGTTCTAGAAGAATACACTTCAGAGAAGTAGCGTGAATAGTGGCAAGCAGGATTTTTTTTTTTCAATTTCGGATATAAGCCAGTATTAATTTCACCATGGAAGCGAATGAATGAATGAATGAATGAATCGTGGAGGGAGTGGCTGTCACTAGTAGATCAAGTGAAGAGGGGGGGAGGGGGCTCAAGTTGTAGTCTTTT